CTCCCACTTATCTTGATTTATTCGATTATTTTTTGAAAAACGGAATTTATAAGAGTCTTTCTCTCTCTCTCTCTCCCTCTCCCCCCTCGTCTTTTAGTAAGTCTTAAATATCGAAAACGGCAATTAAAAATCGAGAGAGCGTAAGAAGAAAAAGGATACTGTTAGTTGTGACCCGGTCAGTAGTAGAGGATGTATAAACACTTCACACATCCTCCTCGCTAGACAGGATATTTATAAGAGAGGTTCCTTTATCCCTTATAATGTACAATAAGGCTCTGTTGAGGAATCTGAATGGTTGCGAAATTTTTAAAAAGTACGCTACTCAGAAAAGATTGAACCTTACCGGTATTCTGGTATACGAAAAACACGGAGGATTTAATGAACGCCTCACTTTTTCGAATGACTCATGTCGAGCGTGTATACCTCTCTCTTGGCATATTTATGACATACTAAAACACCACGATATCGCTTTATATCTTCTACTACACGCTACTGACACGTTGGCGGTTGGCCACTTAATTATTTATCTACGAATTTTTCTTTTTTTTAAAGTTTCGAAAACGTCAAAAAAAGAGAAGATATTTTTGAAAAATATTTACTATTATGCGCAATATTATCATTAAAAATGGACAATGATATCTTTTGATCTTCGGAAAAAAGTCTTCTAAAGATCTCATAACACGCACATACCAACCAAGGCCAAGTAATGGCAAGTGGAACGGCCTTCGTTGTATGACATGTCAGTCTTCTAGAATGATGACGCTTGTCTTACGAGATAAATAGATACCGCTGTTCCGTCAACCACCTGTTCCAAAAATCCTATACGCATGCGTGGGTTTAATGACAATGTTAAGAATTGGAAACGAAGCGCAATACTGTGACAAGTCGGAAATGACAAGGCAAATTAATGTTTTGTGTAGCTTCTAATTTCTTTGGGCGCTTAACTTGAGAGTGTATAAAAAAAAACCGAGATTTTTCGCATAAATTTCTGCAATTCTTTGTACCCAATTAAAAAAAAAAAATTTTTTAAATTAACCAATCAGCTTGTTGCATAATACGGAAGAGAGAAAATTAAAATTTAATAAGCGTTACTCGATATCGTTCGTTTATTCGTCCGTTCCAGAATTAAATCTGTTGCCAGACGGTCCACGTTATACTTTACAATCGATCAGGATTTTCACCCCTTGCAAATTAAACTCAACTATGACTCAACAAGAGAACATATTTTTAGTCAGGACTTTGTAACAGAAACACGATCCGTCCAATGATAGTATCGTTTACAGTTTGACTTAAAAGATTTTTTAAATAAAAATTTCTAAAAGGAAAAAAATTCCCACACAACCTCAAAAACAATAGGTTACTGTTCGTTTTTTTTTTTAAACTCTCTGCTCGCTTTATTGGTTTAAAAAATAGCTCGCTGACAACTATGGGGTCGATAGCCCACCAAGGGGCACTGATGGGGGACAATTAAACAGTAAGGTTGGTGTTTTGACGTATTTTGTACAATAGACAACACTGTGAGGAGTGTGTTACGCAAATTTTATGATGGGATATGTAGAAAATTATGAAAGAAATTTCGTCTTCACGCCTCCTTTCTGTAAACGAGTATACGTTTCATAAATATGGAATAAAGCACATATGTATATAGGGCCTACACCGTTTTAATTAAACAAAAGTGAACAATGAAAGGAGTCCTAATTCACGCACCGTGTGCATTGCTTAACGTGGTTGATGCGCCTACTGGGCACAATGATTTTATTACTAGGGACACTCCCAGGAATAAATTAATCCGCAGAACATCGCTAACATCTTTAAAAAAAGAAAAATAGGTGCAGTTACCTTAAAAAAGGAGGACGCTTTTCCATTTTTAGGTATTTCTCGGAAAAACTTAACTGGAATCGAGTTACAAAACCAGCTTGGATTCGACCAGCGTTTTATATAGTTTAGCAATTTTCTAACCGGTTCTCGGGTAACAAAGGAACTTTATTTGTTTATGCATAAATAACTAATGATCCCTTAATACGATACATTAATAAAATTTTACTTTTAATTTTAAACAAGATACAAATTTTGAAGGTTTTCTTAAAGAGAACATTAAGATTATTCTAAGCTATTCTTTTCGAAATTAGTTTGGAGATTCATAATCCCCCTTTCTCTCCCTCCCAAAATAACTTTAAACATTATTTAATATTTTAAAAAAAATCATCCAGAATAAGATAATTTGTTAGAAACTTAACTTTATATATGCAAATAGGAATTATTCGAGTGACATTCGCATTAAAATCAATTATTCTACTTTAAATTCTTTTTCTGCAAAAATAATTGAAAGTGTAGAAAAAATTCGAAAAATTCTTTCTCCGAGATTAAATTTCGTAGAAATCTGGACAGCTGCCTGATAGATCACCTGCAACTTCCGTGTGCAGATGTTTAAGTTATCACAATTGAAAAAATCATAATTTACGAAGGATCGTTAACGAATAGGCGCAACTTTCGGACGTTGAATATATTTGAAAATTCCGTTTCCATTGGTGAAGAACAGGAAGTTCAAACGGTAGTCGAAAATAAACAAATGGGTTGTACTCAAATGATACCTTATCATATTCAGTTTGCATTATCGGGTGTTGAGTGACATTAATATCCTGTGTTTAGAGCTAGAGAAAAATATTGTGTAAATACTAACTTAGTTTCCTCTCGAGATGTCGTAAATCTTAGTTTATTACGAATAACTTTTTTTTTTTCCATATAAATAATCTTTATGATAACGAATAGCTTATTTTGAGAGTTCGCGCTCTCCATCGCATCGCATATCTACAAAAATTTAAAAATCGTAAATAATTTCATCATTCAAAAGGTAAGAATACTTGTTTCCCACGCGAAACGGAAAAGCAAACAATTTGTTACCGAGAGGGATAATTAGTATTAAGGAGGAACCTTCTTCCTGCCACTTTATTAATGAGGCATTCTGCAGCAGTTGGGGTTTCCGGACCGAAGAATCCCGAATTCCTCAGCTTTATAGGAATGTTTATCAAGTGGAACGCCTTAAGTGGTTTCTGAAGTATTTCTACAAAGTACGTAAAGAATACAGGGATGCAAACTATCTATTATTAGTCAGTTGTCTTATAATAAGACATTCCTCATTTTTTTCATTATATATATATATATATATATTCTGTTCACCTTTACACAAGGATATCTCTTCCCCGAGGAAAAAACCGAAAAACATTCTCTGGTTGTCATGATGACTTAAGGCCTACGGGGTATAAAAAGGTTCATCGCACTAAAACAACACTCACCTACCACTGAGTTATTGTTAGTCGTTAGAACACTGATGAGATTCATCCTTCCACGTCCTCTGTATAGTCCAGTTCCAAGTGTCAACCATCCTTATGAAAACGAACTCGACAAATGTGAGAGAATTTCCCGAAACTCCACCTATTGTACATGACGTCAGGGCAATCAACAACTTTTACCCAATAGAAGTGGCGGTTGAACCCATTTTGCTGCATGGGGAAGAATTAACAGTACATGTTACAGGTTCATAAACTGAATGTCTATCACCAGAAACTATTGTTTCAATTTTTGAATATATACAATTTTATAAAATAATCTTTTCTTGTAAAAAAAAAATAAATAAATAAATATTTCTTGCTCGAGCGGGTGAGAGGAGAATGGCATTCTAGTAAAAGGGATCACTAATACACAAATAGACCAAGGGACTAGTAAAGAACTAAAGTTATTCGGGAAAACAACTTTTGACCTGTGAAAAATGAGTACAACTATATCACCCAATTCAAAATTTTCTGAACTTTTTCCTCGCCTTCTGAGAGTCTAGATCATACATCAGGATCGGACAGGTGAACTAAAGAATGTGAGGCCGTGCACTTGTACAGAGATGACCTAGAAGAAAACCGGGTACAGATAGTAGTAAAGAATGAAATCTTTCATCAAAAAGTGGCCCCCTTCTCAATTGTATAATTAACAATATCCAGGGATGTGCTCGGATATATTAAAACAAAAAGAAAGAAAGAAAGAAACAGGGACGATTAACGTAATCCAATCCTTATGCAGAGATCGACCAGTAAAAAAAAAAAAAAATTGCAATGTGGAGCAAGGTCGAGTGTAACCGGTAAGGCGCGCTCCTGAGACCATCCACCCAAAACTTAACTCCTTTCAAAAGGCCAAAGAACCTGTTTACTTAACTTCATCCTGTAATGTCCGAAACCTATACGGATGACCATAAAACGGAAGTGGCGTCATTCCGTTGTTTGTTAACCCGATGGCCTTTATCTGCAGGCAATTAAAACGAGAACCTTAAAGTCTGTCAATGGATCTGAAACTGAATAAATATTCTTCGGAGGAGAACTTTTTTTTCCGTTCGTTTTAAGGTCGCGGCCACTATAAAGAAACGGTTAATTGCAATTATGAGAGTTTAATTAAGATGCGATCTTGAATCGTTATAATGATTAAAACTGGAATTTGTATCCTCGTGTTCCATATCTATCCTACTACATTATTCAAAAAATAAAACAGGAAGGCAGATTTCTAATACATTACAGAGTGGAATTCCAGAATTAAATCAGTTGCTTTGTGTTCCCAAAAACAAGATCAGTAGAGATCTTGTTATTCTAGATCCATTTCTAACTTATATTCCAGAATTTTTGGTATTTACCCTAAATAGTTTTGACATCCGAGTTCAACAAGATAAATATTTTTTAAGGAATGTTTTGTGATTGTCTTTTCAATTATGCAATTTATGTCTAGAAATGAATTTAACTATTGTATTCTAGACTTTCGAGATGAAGTTTACAGCTATTAAATATAACAGTTTAAACAATTAATAATGGACTCGTCCAACACGTAACTATCCTTTACGTTAATAACCGGCTCTCCCTATTGAGCGCAACATAACTGTGAAAGGTAATGGAGCAGGAATCCCGAATACATTAACAGAATTAACGATAACTAAATGCGTAGTCGAATCATATTTAGAAATGACTTACTTCCCGACGGATATTGGTGCGACCGGAATCATTTTACGTCACAAATTTGTCTAGAACGAACATGAACTAAAACTATGAGATGATGTGCGGAAGTGGTTGCTTTTCACTTCAACACGAAATTAGGTCGTGAAGGAGAATTCCGGTTTGGTAATTTAAAAAAGGAAAGAAAGAAAAGAAAAAAGTAGTAGAACCGATTTATAACGTTCTTTGCTAACTTACGATGTTTAAATGCGAGGAAGAAATTAAAAGAGAGGAAAAAAAAAAACGATACATTTTTTGAGAAATGACGCTCTTCTTTGGATAAACAGAATCGTAAAAACTTTCTGGCATCGTTTCGATTTATATTTTTAGAACTCAACTGAAATAACTAACCTAAGGAAATTTTTAACCTTTTTTTTAAACATTTAATTACTGAATAGCAGTCGTAATGCCGTTAACAAATCGCCCCGAGTGTTTCGATGACGAAAACAATACTCCCTTTTTTTGCCGTATAGTCTGCCTTTATGACGTCACAAAGTGTGCGCAATTTGCGGCAGCGATTAAATATTAATGTTAATAAGTAAACTGGAGAATCTCACCTGAATAGAGAGAGTTTTTCTGTGTAGAGTAGAGGCATTGTCACTGTCAGCGACGTTCTGAACGTCCTTGCAGTTGGACAGGTGCGGGTTTCGGCATTACACGAACAGGATTTTAAGAATCCTTGGAGCATGCTCTGTCTACTCCTTCCGGTCAACCGAAGTTTTGGTCGGACCAATGATTTAACGATCTACCTCTCGTACGACCTGGATGTTTCGCTTTGCAGTTTTTAAAGCAAAATTTATTTTTATTTTTTTTTATTTTTATAATATATATAAAAAATTTTTTTTTTTTTTTTTTTAAAATTTTTTTAAAAATTTTAAACAGTAAAATTTTAGAAGATAAGAGTCTAATGACCCTTGTTTAGACTACATTATAGGACATTTGTCAACTGTCAGAAAACTTGAGAAAGAATGACAAGTATTGTGCTCAACTTCACCCTTGGCGACGAAAAAAACTAGGCTGCTTTAGAATTATTGTCCGGCTGCTAGGGGCGTGGTTCTCCTGACCTCAGATCCGTGTTTAAAGACAAGCATCCTTGGAATTTCAGACTCCAATTCTGTGATTTATACAATACATTCAAAACAGAAAGATTAGTTATATGAAAAAGCATACAGAGAAGTTCTTTTGGTATACAATTCCGCATGTAAAACACTCCCGTGGAGAAACTAGATCGTCGAGAGAGCATTTTTATGCTATTACTCAGACATCTTAATATGCTAGGCATACAGCGATATCGGGTTCGACACCTCCACCCACCATTCTATCTCTCGCAGGTGCTTAGAACTTTGCAATAGTCATTTGACAAATCTTTTTTTTTTTCGGGATTAATCGGTTTGAATTTTACATTAAAAAACAGATATTAGATATAATATATATGAATTCTAGATATAACAAGTTGATATAGTTGCCACCCATGTAGAAATCATTAAATTTCGCTCAGTATGGAATCTTATACGTGCACCTCATTTCACGCTAGGATGGGAATATTTCTATCGCCTTTACTGAATTTTTTCTATCGTGTTTAATTGGAATTCCAGTAGATAAGGAGATTCCTAGCTTAAAATAGATTTTTTAACTAGTGGCAATCATAAATCCCTGTAAATCTTCAGAGAAAAAAATATATATATATATATTAACTGTAAGTTATGAAATCTGATACGAATTATCATCTTAGATAAACGAATTTAAAAATTCTTTCACATATATCATAAAATAGATCATAGAATACCCGGAATTTAATCGAAATATTAAACAAAATAACTCAAGATTACGTCTTAAATAACCCTCATCAGTCATCGATAAATCTGTAAACGTATCATAATAGTTACACAGAAATACTTTTTTAAACAAAACAAAACAGTAAAAAAGTCATGTTTATCGCCGAAGTGACGTAGAAAATCCTTATAACTTCATAAAGAATCTAAGACCTTCGAATGGCGGAAGAAACATATTGATAAATACATATCGATGATTGATATTTTCAAGTTACTCTACAGGAGTACTTCACATGATATCGTGTTGCATTTTAAAGCATCTTATGTAAGTTGCCTTAAAAGAAAACAATCTATTATATTGTTTTTCTCACTTTAATTAAAAATAAAATGCGTGAAATTTTAAAATTAACTTAACATAAAAGGCATATTATTATGAATTGTAAGAAAAGAGTTCACGATAAATGGTACAACGATCAAACTAAAGAATACGGTTATGGCTGATAAAAATGAAAACGTCCTAGAAATGTTTATGATGTCAGTCTTTTTTTTTTTATAAACCTTTACTCATAATTAATATTTATGCAAGTAAATTCTGGTTTAGAAAATCTTAAAAGAAATTATACAAAAAAAAACACTTTTTTGAATAGTTTTCTCTAAATAAAAACCTGAATTTTCATCGTGAGTCTGCCTCTACAAACTTTGGTGTCAACGTCTCATTCATTACGTCATGGACGGCCTTTAGACTTTTGGATGATTCGGAAATTCAGTCTAGCAGAATGAGATTCTGAAAATTCTTTGATTTACCGTTCGAATCATATTACTGTATTTTTACTAAATTCTATACAGTGTCAGATTTACGGTAATGTTTTTGGAAATTATAGGAGAGATGAATAACGTCACACTAGTTCTTTTGAAAAGGGGGAAAACGCTCCACGATTGGCAATAAAAATGGCTTTCGTAAATTATTCGTTATGTATTAAGCCTACAAATAACACGGAGGAGTAACCAGCTGGTTTTCGAGCTTACTGTTTTGTAGTCAAAAAGTGGTATGGTGCATGCTACACACACTAACTACAGTATTCCTATGTTATGACTCATTGACTCACCACCTGCAGGTCGTTACCGTGGAGTTAATGAAGGAAAGTAAAACTATTTTAAACAGTCAGGCTGTTTTTAAGAACCCAATCAACTCCCGCCGATCTATACTACCTTCTCTTCATTCTTCTTCGAATAAAAATAGTTTTTTAAAATATATTATTACTCCTACGGATTAAATTCGGTAAACTGCAGAGTTTGTCCAAAATTATAAGTGTTGAAGATCATTTGTCTTTATTTACCTACCGTGGCCTCACGAAAAATGCATTTAATGAGAAATGCCTATCACAAGAATTGACTCCTGTCAGATATCCGACACTTTGACCCTGAAGTTGGCGCCGTGCTTGTCCGGATTTCGACTCCGCGCTCGTCTTTCCTGCTAGAAAGATGTGTTGAGGGTTTAGATAATCCTCCTCCCTGTCGGTCCCGGAACATCGAAACTCATCTGACTAAATATGGTCATTTAGAAAATCCTGCAACTCTCCCCTCTTTCCCCTCGTAATAAAGCCGTCCCTGCTTCTAGCTGGTGTAAACTACCCTACACTAATTAGAATCGAGATAAATATCCGATACTTAGTAACAGGAGCCACGTCAATGCGGCTACTATATAAGTTGCATCCTTGCAACTATCGACAATAAGTATTCAGAGTGAATTTATAAGACATTTCTAAAACATTAACAGGAGTCGACCATTATTTTCTCCTCTACTCAGATAAAACTTTCTACTCAGGAAAGGCTGGGATAAATCCTGAGGTAAAGAGTGATAACCTTGCTCATGTTGTCTCGCGTCGCGTGACAGCATGCGTAAGAGGCGTGTCAGAGGTCAAAGGTGACGGAGGGAGGAAAAAATCCGGTTGTCGACGATGGGGTCCAAGCCGATATATCACCTGGCTGAGATCTGACGCCACTGGGGTCAAAAGGGGTCGAGCGTCGCTCTCCATCAGAACAAAAACATTTCTGAAGTCACCGATCGAAAAATAAAAAAAACATTAAAAATCCTGCTTACGTTTGTGATTGACGATTCCTATCGTTAGCAAGGATCGACTGGCTCGTCCATTCGATGCTACCGTAGTCTTGATCACCCTGAGCGCTCGTCTCGTAACCAGAATCTTTTGTGAGTTTGCGTGCAGTTCTATTGTGTCTTTGGCTTCCATTTTTGACAGCTGCCATATCGAACAGCTTCTTTGCAACTTCCCATTCGTTGGCGTCACCGCTATCTGTATACGAACGTGACTGCTTGCGCCCGAACGTCCGAGATTGATCTCCCGTTACATCGCCAATAGGATTAGAAGAGAAACTCTTTCTTTCTCTCGTAAGGTTTCGTTGAGAGCTCCAGTGGCGATGAAGTCGACTGGACTTTGCTTCCTTGTTACTAGATTTGGACTTTCTAAAGCTCTGCCTCAGAGACGTAGCCTTTTGCCATAAATTTGAACTTTCTTTCTCTTTATGTTCATTGGAGTTCCTGTAAAAAATAAAAAACATTATTTAATATAATCCAAATTCGGTAGTGAGTTGTTAAATATTAAACACGACGGCAAAAATTATAGTTTCGAGTGATTGCAACACGATTTAATGAATCGTTATTAAAGGCAATTGAAAGTAAACAACCGTATTAATGTTCGACCTAGTTTCCATACAAAGCTGAAATTATCGCTGTATCAAGGATAACTTATCTTTAAAAATTCCTAGTTTCTAATCATTATTGACATTAGTTATTTTATCAACTTGTAATTATTGTGTAGAACTTACTCTAGGCAATTCTTTGTCTTGGAAATGAAGTTAAACAGAGATACATTTCATACTTGATGATTAATTTAGTTAAGTGGAACATTTTCAAATATTTTCATAATCACATATATATATCAACTCCAAATAAGATTTGATTTAGTAACATTACTTTTTCAAGGAGAATAATACAATATTAATATAATTGTAGGAACCTACTTTATAAAATATTTAACTTAATTCCACTTTAATTTCATGTGATTAAAAGAGAGATTTTTGATAATTTCTTTATAATATTTAAAACTGGAAATATCAAATTGTTAAGAAAATAAATAGCTTCTTTGTGATCGGTATTTAAAGCGCTATTCACTCACCTTGAGGAAACACGCTCTGAAAAGGAAGAATGGACTAGTTCTATAACGAAACAAATTTGGTATTTCCAATCGACAATTTAGTTGTAGATTAGGAAATTCCAACTGATGAAGATTGTTCTTTCAGAAAAGACTTGGTTAAAAATATTTTCGGTCGATTACCTTGTGGAAAAATGATCCGGTATTCAGTAGATCATTTGGGAGTAGTTCTTGGCGCTCGACAAAGAACCAACCATACACGGGCCTCACAATAGCACATACATTATATTTGTTGTTGGATTTACTTCAAATAGTTTATTAGGAAATAGAAAAGTTGCTGTCAATCTTTATCTCGTTTATCTTATAATTAGATAAGAACTTAATTTAAATGTACATTTTCATTTTTAACTTATTCTTTAGACGAGGAAAAATTTCGAATATATAAAAACAATATTATTAATTTAACAGAATTTTACTCATTGTATTCGGTAAAAAATCATTTATAAGCTTTGAAATTTTATTTTAAAAAACTTATCAGTTGATCAGACTATTCGGTTTAATCGGTATTTAATTATTAAAATTCAAGAGATGGAATCGCGTAGAGAAGCCTAGGAAATCTTTTATACAATAGGAGGAGGAGATTGTCGTGCGTTTACGATTTTAATGAGGCCTCATCGCATTACACCTGGTCCCAAAACTGATTAGTTATAGGTGGGTCTTCCAATGATAAGTCGGTAAAGGCATTATTCTTTGTTATCTGAAATTTGTTTAGCTTTAGCCAATCTCTTTTTTCCCTACATTCCAATTCCCCGTTGTCCAGCAGATTGTTAGCAATCCAGTCAAACCGTTCTCTATCTAAGCTATCAGTAAACAAAGCAAGGCACGTGAATGTAACGCCCCAAACGCCAGATGTCCCACTGTGCCCTTAGGCAAAGGTAGTTTGGTTCCAAGTGCCTCCAATCCCGGTATGCCGGGTATGTGAAGAGGCCCACTAGTCTATCGAGTGTTTGTCAAACAACGACACCTTGCGACCAGACAGCGAATTAGAGGGCTGATGCCAAGGTCGTCTAAGTTAACAACCATCTGCCGTATTTTCTATTTTATGGTCTACGCCGGACCATACGATTAAATCTACAGACTTTCTACTCTCCAATCTAATCGTTTAAAACCCTCTATAAAGTGATTAATAATTAAGAATTAACTTTTTTTAAGGTTGTAATTTACTTTAATATCGAATATACTATATATAATTTTCACGATTCTTATTCTTTTCTTTATTGGATCCTATGGCATTTTGCATGCCTAGCATACCTGGAGCTTAACTTTTACTATGAAAAATAGCATCCGGATAACAATAAGGGATTATTGGATAGCTGCCCTTTGCCATACTGTGTCACAGATGCCATTAACTTAAGCTCCATAAATACACTAAAGGGACATTACGAGTCATCACCTTTAAAAAAAGATTATATCCTGATTGCGTTTTGCTTTAAAAAATGGTATTTATCACCATTCTTTACGCAACCTCGCCATTGTGAGATTCTTTAGTGGGCTTTACAACGTTCTACCAAACGAATTGAGGGATAAAAATCCTAAATTCCAAAGTTAGTAGGGATCACCTGTACAACAGTACAATGTAATTTCACATTTTCAAAGCAAACATATAAAGATAGCGTATATTGTTATGTTTCGCAATGCGACTCCGGAGTTCAAATATCTGTAAATTGTCACAGGATACATGCCTGCATTAAATAAGATAGAGTAAGGAAGCGAATAACAACCATTCATCTTACATCATTCTTTTGCAGATTTTGCCTCAAGATATTATTACGAATGAATGATACCAGTTGACCTCTTATGCGTGCTATGTTTGTACTTAATCATAATATTTATGTATCCTACAATACAATGCACTGATATATACATCAGACTCAAATAAAAAAAACAAAAGGAAATTTTATTAACCTTTCATGTTTAAACTTCTTTTAATGAATAATTATATGATTATATGAACAAACTCATTATGACTTTATTTATAATGACTTACTGAAAACATTCTCGTAAATATCAGAAAGTAATGGATTAATTATCGAGTTTGAAAAAAATTGTATACGGATATAATATGGAGACAATCGAACATGAAAACCTTAATGCTTAGATTCTTAGTATCAATTTGTAAGTCATAAAGAACACAATTTATGCCCGACATTTTAAAACGTGTAAGCTTCTATTCTACTTCTATACAATGAGGACATTCCTTCTCGGCAGGGTCACTGTCAACCATAGCAAATTTTATGAGTTTAGGTCATTGAGATCCTTTCTCAAAATAAAGAATTTTAAAAATGAAACGATACCTCAAAGGTATAAAGCTTAAAGAAATGCATACCACCCGTTCGGGGTACGTTGCCTGAAGTCAACTATCGGCCTTGTCCTGTCTCTTATTTGTCACAGGGAAACCTCGTACAAAGGGCGCTTTCACTGCATCCCCGACCTTGGCACCCAATGGGGCTGAAACTATCAAGGTCGGGATTCTTCTTCCGCTTTGAACTACCTTTAGAATGGTTTTGTTTGCCGAATAAAATTAAAATAAATTTCATCTCGTTTGTTAATTTTTCATTTTTTTTTCTTTTTAAATCTAGTTTCTTTAAACGAATTGTGATGAAAAAATAAAAAGTTCGTTTCCCTTTTATGGCAGCGATCCAAAAATTTATAGCCAGGTGCGCTGTTTGGTTATCTCAGGTGTGTGTTATCATCCCGGTCGATCGTTATACATAATTTTAATCGTAACAGATACAAAGAACGATTCTTATATAGCTTTCATAGAAACATATGCAAGGAAAATTTACAATGTAACGCAATTCCATTTGCTATTTAAATGTCATATTTAAAAAATATCGTGTGAAGGATTATGTAAATTAATACCTGGATTGTTTTCTAAAGCAGTAAATGTTTACACAAAAAGTGCTCTCGTCACGCTACACCAAAGTCGAGATGATGTTCGGCGCCAAAAAGACGTCACCAAAAAGGGGACGATACTAAACGGAAACACATCGCTCAGAGAAACACCTGTGGCTATATATAATTATCTGGGGTCTGTTAGGGGCAGGCGGTCTCCTAAAACTAAGTCCCAATCATCATTTAACGTAATAAACATAAAAAATTATCTCTTCTCTAATTAAACTGGGGCGCAGGATCTTTTGAAAAAGCTCCTTACAAAGAGGTGCCTGGAATTCTCTACAAGTCAAGTTTATGATAATTACCAGAGGAGTCTTTCCATTATGGGATCGGGTCACACCTGAATTAACTTCAACAGGATAAATGTGTAATAAAATATAACTTACCGGTAAGATCCATACCAGTCTGATGATGGGCACCCTAAATATGAGGCAATCTCAGCCAACGAGAAACCCTCATGTGGACTGTTCCCACTCGGTTGAGGGGTGAATTAAACAGGAATGAAAATGGAAGAAGGGGATATTTGAATGTTCATCCTTTGTTTTGACAGGTAGTGGGAGATTTTAAGCACCCAAAAAAAAAAAAAACGAGTTTAGAACGTAATCTCTTGGATTTTATTCTTTAACACTTCAATTTTATCGCGATTAATTTTATATATTGTAAAGTAATAAAAGCGAGTTTCACCTTCAACATACGACATAGAATAACGCATTAAGAAGGCTTTTAAAAGCCGAAGCAATGGAGCAAAAATAGAGTAAATGCTCCTGATTACAGCGAGTCTTGTTAAAATTACAACTGTAAAAGCGTTTCTAGGCCCTAAATTTAAGTTCCTCTACTAAAAATACTTTCGTGTACGAAAAGTAATGCACCCGTGATGATGGGTATATTACTTTTCTTACATAAAAACCCGTTTTATTGACAAGTTACATAATCAGGCAGTAGTGGTGCTTGAAGGAATAATTTCCCTCTTATCTATTCGGAGGACATAACTCCAACACTAAATGGGATTCAGCGAAAACAAAAACGTCCCCACGCGTGGCAGAACTGAGTACCATCTGGTGTTGAAATTCTTTTCTATATTCCATATTTAAATATTTAATCTGTGAAATTTTATATTTTTATCTTATTTCAGATGCATTCGAATATCTTTATTCGGGCGAATGGATGTAATTTGAAACGTCCAGCAGAAGGCGTTGCTAAGACAGGAACGACCTCAATGGAATGCAGTCCATTGCCATGTGTTTAGTAGGCTATAGACTCCATGCTGGTCACTACGATAAAAATAGATCTTGAAAATTCCGTTGCAAGAATCATAATAGATTCTGAAACTATCCCTATCAAGTGATTTTACATAAAAATATATTACAGTTTCTGGAAACGCCCAAATACCATAATCTATCTTTTAATCTACACCTGGAACCAAGCCTTAAAA